TTTTGAGACAGGGTCTCCCTATAGCCCCAGCTGGCCTGGAACTCACTATGTAGGCCAAGCTGGCCTTGAACTCACAGTGCTGCGACTAAAGGAATGTGCCACCATGTCCGGCACAGCTCCCTTTACTTTTACAGAGATGTTAGCAAGAGGGTCAGCAAGCCAGGCACAGGGGCACACACCATAATCCAAGCATTTACGATGTGAAGTCTAGAGAGTTGTGAGTTCAAGGCTATGTAGAGAGACGGGATCTGACAAAAATCAAGGGATGGAGGCGTGTCTCAGTGGTGGAGTGCTTGCCTAGCACACACAAGGGCCTGGATTCAATATTTAGCACTGGAAAAAAAGTCAGTTGGGAGAGCCCTTGTCAAATGGTTTGGGGAGCAGTGGGTTGGATGCCAGATGGGAGTGTCTGGAACAAAGAGTGGGAAGTGAGAAGTCCCCAGTTTGCTCTTCTACCCAGAATCTATGCGAAATGTAACAATGAAGCCAATAAAGACTGAACAAAGAGAAAAGGAAGACATAGAGTTGACATTTGTGCCTGTGCTCTACTCATGACTGGACTGACCCTAATCCCAGCCTGCTCCTTTCCACCTTGATGCTTGGCACACAGGACACATGAGAATGGTGGGAAACAGCAGACTGGGAGAGTGGGAAGCTGTGTGTCTTTGCTAAGATTCAGCCACTGTCTGTACTGTACCTTTCAACATTTTTACCGCCACCTGGATTGACACGCCTGTGTTACTAATTCCATACGCTGTCGCATTCATCACTTTTCCAAAAGCTCCTGATCCTAGGACCTTCCCTGTCAAGACAGAGGAAGCACGGGTTAATAGAGGCTTTCCAAGGAAAAGACAATGCCACAGAAATGTGGACCATCCAAGTCTTACCAAACTCTAAGTTTTCTCGTGGAAACTCCCACTTGAGATCGTATTCATATTCCCTGAAGTCTACGTAGAAGTACTCATTATCCAGCGAGCCTGTTACCTGAACCATCTGCAGCTGGCTCTCATACCTAAATTGCTTCAGAAAAAACAGAGAGTCAGTGGGCAGTCCCAGTGCTGCAGCGTCAGCACAATAAGGAGCCCTCACTGTTGCTTTTACCTTCTTGTACTTGTGACAGATCAGCATGGTTAGGACCACAATGAAAGGAAGACAAAGCCCAATGGTTGCATAGAAGGAGATGTTGTCTTGGATGAAAGGGAAGGGGCCTGTAAGAAAAGCGGTCAGTAGGCAGTGAGACAGAATTCCTGTTTGCAGTTATAAATAGTACAGCCCTTGCTAGCTAGAATCTCTCACATCCTGTTCAAGTAACCACCGTGTTCAACCTTATGAGCATTCTGCATACATCTGTTCCCCGCAGAAAATCAGACACTGTTTATAAACATCAAGTTCCCTTTCCAGAAAATCAGAAATGCCTCTAAAACCAATTAAAAAATCAGTCCATGGAGTTGTAAGAATGATACCCATTTAAACCTTCCTCTAAACCCAAGCTAGATAAAAGGGAGTGTGTGTTCTGTGAAGATACCTCATGAGAGTAGAGAAGTTAGTTAAGGTTTTTAATTTTTCGAAATATTTTTATTAGTGTGTGTGTGTGTGTGTGTGTGTGTGTAAATGTATACCATGTGTGTACCCACAGACGTCAGAAGGGGGTATCAGATCATCTGGAGCAGGAGTTACAGGCAGTTGTGAGCCACCTGCAGAGCTCAGGCCCTCTTATAGAGCAGCAAGTACTCTTAACTGCTGAGCCATCTTTCTAGCCCCTAGTTTTGTTTTGTTTGTTTGCTTGCTTGCTTTCTTGTTTCATTTTGCTTTATTTTCCCTGAGACAGGATCTTTCTGTGTGGTCCAGACTGGACTTAAACTTGGGATCCTCCTGCCCCTGCCCCTGGAATGCTAGGAGTATGGGCTGCGCCTGGCTTGAAAAGTTAATTTTTTGTCTGTTTTGTGGTTGGTGATCCTAAACTATTAGTGCAGATGGACAGTTTGAGGGAGACTCTAGAAACAACCCCCAAAGTAAATAAGGAGATTAACAAAAGGGAAAATGATAGAAATTCCAGATTACTACATCAGTTTCGTTGGAGTTGGACCTTCTGCTGGCTGTTCATCATACTAGGAGTTCATGGTACTCTACATCACTGTGATCCATGAGTCATAATATGTTCTGAGAACTGGGTCCTGAGATGTAAAATAGGACAGGGTGTATCTGGGGATTCTTGCCTGACTCAGAAAGATTTCTTTACTCAGACTCTGAACTACAGTCTCTTCTAAAATTCCCCCAGTAAAAGCCAACCACAGGGCCTAACTTCTAGTGGGGAATTCCTGAAGGTATATTACAAGAGCAATTGTGTCACACCTGGTGAGTTTAACAGGATGGTTTTACAAGACGTGCCCAGGGAATTGTACGCACAGCATTTGACCAGAAACCCTTTCATAGCCTCACTCATGTTTAGAGTACTGCTGGACACCCACTGTCCAAACACTTCTCTGTTATTATTAGTCTTTTTATTCCAAACTCCTTCTGTGATTTCTTCAGTGCAGCTGAAAAGAAATGGCAGACAGGGAAGTTAGACAGGTGAGGTCATCATGAGATGGGGATCTGGGGTTCCTACTGATAGTTCCAAAAGAGACAAGCAAGAGTGGCAACAGATTCAGAAGGTGAGGTTTTAACCTGCATTGTTGCTTAAACTGTATTCAGACTATATATAGGTCAGGGTTCTATGCCGCTCGCTCTTCTTCATCCTTTCTTTTTCCCTTTATCCTTTCTTTTCCCTCCCCCTTCCTTCCTTCCGTCATTTCTTCCTTCTTCCCTTCCCTTCTCTGCTTTCTGTCTTCCCTTTCTTGCTTCCTTCTTTCTTTCTGTGTTTTGGAACAGGGTTTCACTATGTACCCCATGCTGGCCTCAAACTCTAGATCTTCCCGCCTCTGCCTCCTGAGTGCTAGGATTACGGTGTGGAACACCATATCCAGCTTTGTTCTCCCTTCTCAAGAGACATGAAGTTTCTGATTACTTGGGAGACTTGTCTGAACACTTCTTCCAGGTCCAAGAGGGTAACGGATATCCATCAGAGGAACAGGACGCCTGGCTGGCTGAGGTCTCAGCTTGCACTTGAGGTTTCCCTACAGAAAATAACATTCAAAATAAGCTCATGGAGGATGAGTCTTTCCAGAAACAGCTCAAATCTGGCTTCAGTTAAGGCTGCCTGTTTACTTCAGGGCAGTGTGCGCCCCTGGGAGGGCATTTCCGATGCCTCAAACCTTTGGATGGTCCCCCCTCCCCTGCTATGTAACCTTGGTATGTGTCTTGCCTCCTCCCAGAGGAAATTGAGACGTAGACCTCCATCTGCCTGCACACTACAACACAATGCTGAACTTCAGAATAATATCTGTGAAGATCTAATGCCATATATTCTTGCCTTTTTCTTTCTTTTTCCCTTCCGTAATGGAAATTATTAAAATAAATAAATAGCAGGTGACTCCTGAGCTTTTCCTTAACATTCCTTCCAAAGTACTAAAGTCAATAAAGTTGCAGGATTAGGGCACATGCAGACAGGAGATGGACCATGTCTTAGCTTCGAGAATAAACACAGAAAGAGACATATCTAATGACAGTCAACTGATTAAACATTCAAAACTTTTCAGCACACAAAAGCAGTTTCATAGCATCCCTTCTAAGCTGTGACTTGGTTCTTTTTGATTAAAATTAATCAAGAATAAAAGAATTAGAGGACAAAAAGGGAATTCTCAATTTCACTTACTTCTGATATTCAGTGTGAACATTTTGGTGAACTGAGCATCATCATTTTCAGCATGGAATATATATTCTCCTGGTTGGTGCTGATGATGGCAAAACTTAGATATGCTGCTTGAAAAAGAATTAAAGACTGACTTAGCCCAATGCTCACAGGAGACGCTACAATGAAGAGCAGTGTGCATGAGAAGATTCTTGTGAAAGTCTGTCCCCATTCACTGAAGCTCACCAGGCAAAGAGGTGTCTGTCTTCTAAATGCGTGCTACTCAAAGTGTGGTCCACGGACACACAGCCTCACTATCAGCATTGGTAGCATCTAGGAGCTTGGTAGAAATGCAAAATCCAGACCCTATCCAAGTCTAGAGACTCAGAATGTACATCTTAGGATACTCATCACGTGGTTCTGCACCTTAAGGCTCAGGGCTGGCTAGGGATGGGGATCCTCTGAGAAAGAAGGTGGTTCCTGGCCCTGTTTCTCCATACTTTCTGAATACTCTGACTTCCCAGGACACAGAAAAATCTCTGCAGGTGGAGGAGCTTCCTGTTTCCAGAGCTAACTGGCTTGCTAGTGTTGTTCTAAGACAGAACCAACCATCAACCAACCATTGACTTATATACAGTAGTTAACACTGGTGAAGGCCCAAACCCACTGAATTTACCCAGAGATCCTTACCTGATCTCAGCAGGCTCCAGTACCTACTTGGGATAGCAAGCACACATTTTGCCATGAGTAACTTTATGATGGGGATTACCCATCATGTCTACAAGGCCTATGCCATGTTGAAGATTGTTGTGGGGTGCTGGCTAGAACAGGAGAGTAGGGGGCAAGGAGACATTGGATATGATTTCCTACATCCACTGTAACAAAAGTCAAGAGAAAGAAAAATAAACCTTGCCCAGGAGATACTTATTTTTTTATAAGGTTGTTGAGGAATCATATGATGGGGATTACCCATCATGTCTACAAGGCCTATGCCATGTTGAAGATTGTTGTGGGGTGCTGGCTAGAACAGGAGAGTAGGGGGCAAGGAGACATTGGATATGATTTCCTACATCCACTGTAACAAAAGTCAAGAGAAAGAAAAATAAACCTTGCCCAGGAGATACTTATTTTTTTATAAGGTTGTTGAGGAATCATATATTTTTATATTTTATTTATTATTTTTATTTTATGTGTATGAGTGTATTGCCTGCATGTATGTGAGTGCACCCATGCCGTGCAGTGC